AATATTTTTCTGCAAGGTAGTAAATTGGAAGGCAATTCAATGTGGTGATGTGTTCCTCAAGATATTTTTTTGCGCCGATAGCTTTCAGGTTTAGTAGGGGAAGATAATCTGCTAATTCAAACAGATTCTCGGCATTTTCTATATTGAATATCTGAACGCTACCAGTGTAGATAAACTCCAGGATGTCTGCCATCTGAGACTCTGTTACCATCTTCAGCCGAATAAGTCCTTCGTTATTCTCTTTCATGTCGCTGTTCAGGAGCTTTTCAAAGAAGCTGCTCGCCTGCGAAAGGACGCTTCTATGAGCCTGAAACTCCTTTCCATCTTTCACCACCAAAGTTACATCACTAGGATCTTTATGCTCTTTTAGCTTGATTTCNTCCAGCCGAATAACTCCTTCATTATTCTCTTTCATGTCGCTGTTGAGGAGCTTTTCAAAGAAGCTGCTCGCCTGCGAAAGGACGCTTCTATGAGCCTGAAACTCCTTTCCATCTTTCACCACCAAAGTTACATCACTAGGATCTTTATGCTCTTTTAGCTTGATTTCAAGCCGATTCACGCTTGTTGAAGAGTCAGAGAGTTAAACTGACTCCGAGGAAAACACATTCATCGCTCTATGAATCTGTCAGCATCTGATATCCTTAATTAGCACTGTTTCGTTTAAGTGATCCATGTACGCACGCTCGCTTGTGTATAAATGTTGTGTCATCCTTAGTTGAGCAATATCAACTAGCTCTGATGGCCAGTAGTGATATTAATTATTTACAAACATTCACGTCAAAACAAAGTAAAGTCAGCGTTCAAACCTAATGGCCTGTCATTAAGGCACCTATTTCTGGTTGTCGTAACCTATAGCGGCAGAATTTGAAAGCTTTACGCAACTTTTTCAGTTTGAGAGCGAAGTCTGTATTGAGCGTTTGCGGTGATATTAACACTTACATTGCTTGATTTTGATAGTATGGTAATGAGGTATCATAGGACCCATTTTGGTAAAATTTCCCCCCATTTGAACCCGTACATGTACATTTACTTTCTACCCATCCCCATCGACTTAATGAATACATGAGCTTTGATGAGCTGAACTGTACGCACAAAATTTAATTATAATAAAACGACACAACAAAGGCATAGCTCAATTTAGATTACTAAGAATAGAAAGGTACTATTTAAAAAGAAAGTGTTTTACAATTTTTTTTTATCAGAGACTTAAGACGACACTCATGCCACAAGTTTCTGCAACTTTGAGCAAGCCTGTTCAAACTCATTTTACAATATTCACGAAGTTTAAACAATGGAAATCACCACCGTCACAATACTTGAATTGCTGATCTTAATTGGCATAGATTATTTTTACAATTTTATTTTTCTATTTTCTCCTTAGCTGTGATTGAGAAGATATCAAACACTCAAAACAGTGATTTACATAAATTTCTTACACCTCGAAATGCGTCAAAAATATTCCGCTACACGTAGTTTGTTCATTTCTTTTCTCGGTGTTTAGAAATGTGGTCAAACACAGTCTTTCGTGTTTGATATAATACATGGACAATTCTGTATCTTCCAGCAACAAAAATATTCATAGACTTTGAGTTAAAGTAGAAATCCCTAAACAACAATGAGAAAAACGTAAAGAGAAATTATTGATCGGATCCGTAGTATGCAAGTTATTAAATTTTAACGCTTTTAAACAAATGTGACGACACAGTTTGGTTCAAATCTGGCCGATTTTGATGACTTTTTCGCCCCAAAATGGGATTGTAAAAATCTACTCATTAAAAGCATAAATCTAGTAGCCCCCTCCCCCCCCCTCCCGGTCACATGGTATAGTTCAGTTCCCCATGAATGTTTGGAACTTTTTTTCTACAAAAAATATGCGGCATCTAATGCATTTTAAATTAACATATTCATCGAAAGTTGCAAAATAAGATATAGTTTTGGCATAGTTAATAGAGGGAATGGTTAATTATTTATATATAAGAAGCCCGGTAAACATCAAAGAAGCAAACAAAGAGGCCAAGATTTATGTTCAAAGGTCCTTGACCCTGCACATCTTTTGTTTTATGCTAATTAACTATGCAGGAATTACATAATCGCAATACTTCTATTGGTTAGTCGTATGATAACACAACCAGCTTTTGTATTTTGTAAGGTTTTGTTCAGGGTAAACCCCAAAATAGCAAACAAAAACATACAAAAGAGAACTTTGCCAGGTTTTATGACCATTTCTTCTATTAACGATGGCTTAGAATTATACGTAATAAGTATAAGAATATTTTGACTGTTTTGAAATGTTTCAAAAGTATCAAAATTATCTCTTCCTTAGTGGTCGAAGATTCGCTTTTTCGAATACACAGACAGATCAATAGCTTTAAAATGGTATGTCCTACTTTGGTATGGGGGGGGGGGGGTAGGGGTCTGTCAATTAAATTGGAAGAAGCCCGGTAAATTTAGAGCAGACAGTGTGAAAGAGTTTAACTGAGCAAATTCTCAGCCCAAAACCAGAGGCCTCAGGATTTTCACTGAAATAAATCTTGTCATTGGGCATTGTTGTTCTGTCAGTCCATTTGTTTCTCTCCTCATCGTAGCATTCTACAGGTACCTTGCCGTCAGGGAATTTACAAACATCCTTGAAGGGCATTTTAATACGACCTCCAAGGACGTAAATGGTTTCATCAATTAACACCATTTTTCCACCGGCTCGACCCACTGTCATGCTGGCTATGAACTGCCATTCATTTGTTGCTATGTTGTAAACCTCACAGCTATTCCGCCAGACCGTACCGGGACCCAATCCTCCAGCAATGAAAATCTTTTCTTCATTTTTACAGACACCAATAGCACCTACCCTCGTCTCTTTCAAAGGCGCTATTTCTTTCCAAAATCTTCCCTCGGTGTCGTATGTTGAAGAATCAGAGAGGGGATACCTTATACCAAAGTGAGGGATTTTATATCCTCCGATAACATATATCAACTTATCAACAACTACGGCACAAAACAATTCTTTTCCAACCCAGTTGAGATCAACAGTCATTGAATTTAACTCAATGTTGTATCTCCAAAGGGAAAGAAAGGCCAAGCCCTCTTCTGCTAGAATAAAAAAGATCTCGTCTTTGTTAACCAAAACGTCAAGAAGTTCCGGGATTTTGCCACCTAAACTTCTGAATGTTCGGTCTGAATTCAGTTTTGTCCACGGTGCTCGAGACCAGCGGTTTAAATCTGGGTCATAGCATAGCGATCTGGCGATAGGTTTCGTTACAACAAACACTTTGCTTCGGTGCGAAAATACGCTTATAGGTTCGCATGAGGTCGGGGGCAAGCGGTGCCACTGTTCCGTTGAAGGAAGATAAAAGTTGGTGTGGAAAATAGAACGTTCGCGTCCACGAACCGTGACTACGATAACATCTCTCTCCAGAGCCCTCCGTGGAGGGTGTGGCCGTGGAATATCGCAATCTGCTGATCGATCGAGCCATTGTAAAGCGAGCAAAACACTTTCGAGGCACTCTCCATCTTCTTTCACAAGATCATTAGTCACGACATCGCTTGCTAAAAAGTCACGCGAGATACAGGTCAGTCGAACGTGGCGAAACAAGTCACGAAACTTAACGCGTCGCTGGCTATTGTCATGATCAATCCATCGTAGTACCAGTTCAAAAACGTTTTCTTCAGCGTTAATGATAATCTCATCGCTGGAAATCCATTTTTCAACCTCATGGCTTGAGAGGTTTAGAAAATCGTCGGATCCGGCGACGGTTGAAAAGTTTGAGTGGATGAATTTCCGACAGTTAGCGATCAGGTCTTGACACAAATATTTTTCTGCCAGGTAGTACATTGAAATACAATTTGCAGTGGTGATGTGTTCCTCAAGATATCTTTTGGCGATGGCTTTCAGGTTTGGGAGGAGAAGATAATCTGCTAATCCAAACAGGTTCTCAGCATTTTCTTGAGTGGATATCTGAACGCTGCCGAAGTAGATAAACTTCAGAATATCTGCCATCTGAGACTCGAAGATCATCTCCAGCCGAATAACTCCTTCATTATTCTCTTTCATGTCGCTGTTGAGGAGCTTTTCAAAGAAGCTGCTCGNTTCGAAATGAGACAAAAAGTGTCCGAAAATGAAAACGTCCGAAATAAAACGCCCGAAATTTTAACATCCGAAATTTTTTTTTACTTCCAGAAAGCTAAACTGCCACACTGTCTTAATTGTTTCATATTGAAATGAAATAAAATCTTTTCTTTTTTATTGAAACATGAAGCAATTGACCTTACCCATGACTCCAGAGATAACGACTTTCTCCAGTCATTACAAGCAAACTTCTCCTCGGTAGCACCACTGATACCTGATGACCATCAGGATGACGGAATTCCATGGTGACCTAACCATGTTCATAACATTAATTGTTATATGACAAGCTCCACAACTGAACAAGACAAGGCTGACTTGTTTGCTCGGGACTCACGCTTTGTCCCACAATAACTGTTATTACAGTTATCAGTGGTTTTACATGCAAACGAGGCAAAAGGGTCAATTCTGCTTTGTATTGACCCATTTACTAGGTCACCGTGTTTAGGTTTTACATCTTTTAGGTTTGGACCTTTGGATGCCATAATATAACATTTCGTTATCCTGATTTCTGCATTTAAAAAAACCATTTTAAAATTTGTTTTAGCCATAAATGAATACCTGTGATCCAAGGCTGAGTGAGACAATTCCATCTTCAAATGCAGAATGAGTGTCCACATGGGGTGGGATGCCTTCAGCAAATAAAAGAAAAAAAAGCAAAAGTCCGTACAACTTTTCTGTTCAAAGTAGGCACAGATTCACAAGATTATGCCATAAGCTGCTTTTTTGTATC